CCCTCACAGCAAACCTGTGGACAACTCTGAATGTAAAAACTGTATTAAATATGATTTTTAAGTGTTTTGAATAACAAGGACAACAGGCATATTAGGATGTTTTCTGTCACTTGTTTAGCCTGCATTAATGCATTCAGTGTAAGCTGCACAATTAATCATTAAAAGATCGGGATCTCAACACCCACGCAACATCAATTATAAATGATGCTGATTTGCATATGTTTAGTAATTCATTGAGATTCAGTCTTTTGAGTTAGTTATAGTCAAATAACAGCAGTACTGGGAGAACAGTTTATAGTTGAGATGAAATCAGTGACGTTTATAGTAAAGATTAAATCACCGTCATCTGCACTTAACGACACTCAAAAATGAAAGTTGTAGGCAGCAATTACATTATTTAACCAGTAGGTGAATAATTCTTCAGAAATGATCGTCTAGCAATGAAACATTAAGTTTTATGAGTGAATAACTGCATCATTTATTGAAGATGAGACTAAAATAAACATGGGCTGTACAAATGATGATGTTAGATTTCTACATTCAGCGTCATCAGCAACAGTAGTAGCAGTGAATTCCTCACTGCACTGAATATTTCAGTTTATTGTTTGTTATTTTTTGTTATTTGTAATTAAATTACAGCTTCTTAGTTCTGTTTGTTGAAGCCTAAAGTGTCTTGCAGTGCTGTTTCTGTAAGAAATGCAAAGCAAATGACATTAGTCTCCTCCCCTTTTGGGATGATCCGAAAATAATGTCAGATCCATGACTAAAAAACCATAATGTGATCGGAACCACAAGATTTGCAGGGTTCATACGGTCATGAAAGGCCTGGAAAAGTCATGGAATTTTGACATGGTATTTTCCAGGCCTGGGAAAGTTTTGGAAAAGTCATAGAAATTAGATGATCAAATATCTGTACACTTAAATATGGCTTGGTTTTTACTTCTTTTCTGTCCTTGGCCAAACTCATGCTCTCACATTATTAGTGCTGTGTGAGCATCCTCTAAATAAATTTTACATAGATATAAAGATTTATTTTAACTAAATAGATAGTCCCATGTTTTATGATATGATGTAATGAAGGTGCATTGATACATGAAACATTAGGTCATGGAAATGTACTTGAAAGTCCTGGAAAAGTCATTGAATTTTAGTAGTAAATTTGTGATCCGTTTGGCATATCCTCGTAAACTTCATCTTTACTTCTATAGCGTTTTCAAATGTGTATTAACTCCATAATAGAGCACAACTAGCTCATGCATGTCATTATACACATGTATGTACTCATAAACCACATAAACAAGTACACAACCACACACACATGCATTTTCCACCCCAAAACTACAGCACATGATCCCCCAACACACACTCCAGCCCTCTTCCCAACACATGCAGCAAATTAATGCGCTTCACTTCCTGTTGACCTTTGACCATCCACTTCCTGCTGCCTCCCCAAAAAAAGCAGGGGGAAAAAAAATAACCAGAAAGCCAGACGGAGGCGGGAAAGGAGAAGAAAGCCCCGCCTCTTTTCTCTTGCTCCTTCACTAGTAAAGTTAGTTATCAGTGCTCTGCCACGTCAAGCCTGCGAGACGCTGATTCAGGAGACGGATGCTAAACGCAGCTCTGAGACTATTCGGGAGAAAAAATGATGGTCTTGAGTCTTTATTTATCCGTGCTGTAGATACTGAGAAATATTGGGGAAAATCAACTGCAGAAGAAACAGAAGAGGAGGAGGATGAGGTGCAGTATCTTCATCACTGATGCATGGAGAATTTAATCATGTTTTACAGTACAGAGATGATCTTTTATGCTGTTATACGCTGTAAAAAAAGATCTGTTTCCAAATGCTGGGATTCACAAGTGTTTATTTGCGGTTGTGAAATACATTATGGGATGTTGATCTGTCTTAACAACAACATTTAACCTTAAAGTTTAAAAAAAAGTGACTTTTATGAACATTTTTAATAGTGTGCAGTGCTTTATTGTCTGTGTTGGTGTTGTATATTACACTACAAACACCTTGGAATAAACTGCAGCACTGTTTCTGCTGTCTTATTTCTCTGAATATTATTTCTTATTTTATTTAAAAGTACTAAAATGTCAATGAAAGTCACTTTTGATGTTGAAAATTCAACTCTACAGTTTAACAGTGACTTTTAGTTGTTTGAAATAATATAAGAAGTAATAATGTAAAAATAATGTATATGAAGTAATAATATAAAGAAATAATACAGAAAATGTGCTGCAGTTTATTACAAGGTGCTTGTAGCGGAATATACAACACCAACCCAGACAATATAGCACCTTAAAGTCACTTTTTACAACTTTTCAGGGTTAAAAGTTGTTAGATCAAGATCCCATAATGCAATTCAAAAGCAGAAATAAATTAGGGTAATTAATTAAATAAATGCTAATTTATGGATATTTTAACAGTATATTAGCAGTTAATCTGATGTTAAAGGGATAGTTCGCTCTAAACATTTAATTCTGTCACTCTCTTACATCACTTCATCCCCCTGTTGAACACAAAAGAAGATATTTTGTAGAATGTTGTGGCCAATGGCTTCCATAGGAAAAACAAATACTATTGGAAGTCGACGGCTGTAAAGTATTTTTTAGAATCTCTTCTTTTGTGTTCAACGGAAGAAAGAAATGGTTTTTGGAACAAGTGATGTCATCGATGACCAAATTTACATAAAAAAAAAAACTAATTATTCTGAAGTCAGATTAATTAGCAGCTGTAATAACTGTTATTATTGTGTTCAACAGTTGAAATTATTCTTAACTAAATGACTGACTGAATTGTGTATATTAAAATGAATCATTTCTAAAGTAGATTAATATTGACATCATCAGCTGTAATGCATGTTATTCCAAAGGTCATCGAGGGCATATCATTGTCTGTGGTTATTAAAGTCATGATGCAAAATTTTATATTTAAAAATACCAAACATAAAACCTATATAGAAGTTACTTGTATAGTATATATAAACTTATATAGTAGTTACTTTGTAAAATTCTAAAACCTCTATATTTATAATTAGATCATATATAAACATGTCTGGATTTTTTTAAATGACCAGAAACCATAAGTGTTAATGTTTTAAAAATGTATTTATATTTATTTATTATGTTTATTTAAATGTAATAAAATCTACTTAAATTACTTAAATGCATTTATTTTATATATTTATAATTATGTAATATATTAATAACTCTAAAAAAATCTATTTAGAAAATTTCTTAAAACTATTTAGATTACCAGAAACTCTAAACTAAAGCATTAATTAAAACACATACATAAATGTATTTATTTATCTAAAGTTTATATAGTTATAAAATAATATATATTTATAAAATTTCTGAAAACCAGAAATTCCAAACTACATTTTTAAAAACATATTTAAATGTATTTAATTATCCAAATATAATGATATAATTAAAACTATAGAATATATATTTATAAAATTTTAATTTTCTTTTAGATTACCAAAAACAAAACTAACATTTTAAATAAATATATTTAAATCTATTTATTTATCCGAAGTTCATATACTTATATTTATATAATATATATTTATACAATTTCTAAAAACTTTTTTTTACATAAATTTTTAAAAATATATTTAAATATAATTAAAAAGTGACTTACAAAAAAAAATCCCTTTAAATCATCAGACACCAGCGGTCTAAAGTCCAAATCCAAGTCAGTTTTGAAGTAGTTTTTTTTTTTGCATGTAAATATAAAAACATTAATCTATCCAAACGGCCTGCATTTAATTTCTTCCATATGCATCAAAGTTTTAGGGAATTTTAAAGTGTAACATGAAACCGCATGGAACGCATCATCACTCGCCACAGGAAACAGGAAGCTGCCATTCAGACGCATCATCATCATCATCATCATCAATGTTTATTTTCCCTATTTCAGACTCCATCGTAACTCTACCAGACGTCATCTAGATCTAATAAGTGTGATTTGTGGAGTTTTTGTGGACGCCCAGTGTTCAGACTACCAGTTCTTCAGTTTTCCAGCATATTTTTCAGAGTTTAACCTTTTCCAGCAGATTATCAATTCATCTTTTCACATTAAACATAATTAAGGGACTCAAACACTCTCAACAATGCTCCAAAAGTAAACACAAGGCACTCAAAAGCCAGGGGGTGAAAACTTCTAACCAGACTGTTGTCCACAATTGTTCTTAATATGAATTTATTTGACTAATCTCAGAAGTAAATGATACATGTTTCCAGATGGCAAATTAAGTACAATTGACCCTAATCTTCAATTGCAAAAGTTTACACCCCCCTCACCTGTCTCTCAATGCATTGAGTTTCCTACTTACTTGATTCTGTATTATTGTTACTTGTGTTTTAGCCCCCCTATTCACATGTAATACTTTTTTATTTTTTTCCCCTCAAATTCTGTTTAATAGAGAGATTTTTTTTATGTATTCCTAAACAATAGTTTTAATAATTAATTTCTAATAACTGCTTTCTTATATCTTTGCCAGTACATAATATATTTCTAGACATTTTTCAAGATGCTATTATTCAGCTTAAAGTGAAATTTAAAGGCTTAGGTTAATTAGGGTAATAAGTCACTGTATAACAGTGGTTTGTTCTGTAGACAATCAAGAAACAAATATTTCTTAAGGGGGCTAATAATATTGATAATAAAATGGGTTTCGAACAATTAAAAACTGCTTCTATTCTAGCCGAAATAAAACAAGTAAGACTTTCTCCAGAAGAATAAATATTATAGGGAATACTGTGGAAAAAATCCTGAATCTGCTAGACATCATTTGGGAAATATTTGAGAAAGAAAATCATAAAAGGGTGAATAATTTTGACTTCAATGGTATCTGCTGTACTGAAAAATGCTCAACTTTACCAAATAAAATGTTTAAAAATCAGGAAACCATTGTTTATTTTCCCAATTTCAGACTCCATCATAACTCAACCAGACGTCATCCAGAGCTTAGGATAAGTGTGTGATTTGTGGAGTTTTTGTGGACGCCCGTCCCGCCTGCCCAGTGTTCAGACTACCTGTTCAGGAATTAGTGTTTGTACAGTAGTCTGCACATTGGTTAGGCTGGATGGGGATGCTCGAGGTGGACTGCAAGGGGATGCAAATCAACTCTTCTTCATGCAATCATGTCATATATTAATAAAAACCTACAATATCACTGATGCAAAGTGTGAAGAGTGTCATTCTATCATCACAAATCACCTCTCAGGTGTTTCATGCATTTGTTATTTTGCTTTTTGTTAACACTTTACAATCAGGTTGTATTAGTTAATGTATTTAATAACACGAACAAACAATGAACAATACATTAATTACAGTCCAAAATCAAACCAAAGTGTGTCAATGCTCATTGGGTAAGGGATTCATCAGAATAAACGGCAAAAATTAGTCCAAGGCACTCGAAAAATAGTGTGTATGTGTATGTATGTATGTATATGTATATATATATATATATATATATATATATATATATATATATATATATATATATATATATATATAAATTTTTTTTTTACATTTATAATGGTATTTGTTAATGTTATTAGTTAATGATGATGCAGTTGTTAGTTCATGTGTGCATTAGATTAACCCTTGTTTCTGTCGGGTTGTTTTCATCCACTCTGGGCTGACTTTGAGGCTTCATTTGGCCTCATCTTTCTCTGTATTTTAGCAAATGTGATTATTTTTGCTGGCAAATCTTATTTCGGCACATATTTTGGGGAAATGCTTTGACCATTTTTATAAACTAAACAATAAACTGGGCAAATTTGCTCCCCTTTGGTGATGTTGAGGCTGTTTTTGCCCCATTGACTTTCATTATAATCACATTAAATGATTGTAAATTTATGACAGAATATAATTATGTGTTCTTGATTGTTGCTGGTATTCCCTGTTGGGACGAGGGACAATTTGGCAGTTTTACTGTTGATCATCAGTTGCAGTGCAAAAAAAGCTGTGTTTCTGGCTTTTATATGGAGTACAGTGCGTGTTGCACAATACTGGAATTTGGTACCAATCGGTACTGAAGTTTTAAAAACGTCAATTTCCCGCTCACATTTAAGCAATGTTGAGCATGTTCTTAAGCATTTTGATTTGCCATTGTGTTAACCAGTGCTCAACAGAAATGACTGTGATTGGCCGTGAAGGTCATCAGTTCCCTGAACTTACTGCTGTTTACTGAGTGTAACAACAGAGGCAGGGACACTGGAGTGTTTTGATTCCTCAGCGGATCGCTCGTATGTCAGCTTATAGACAAACCAGCTAATCGACGTGACTTTAAAACACTCCAGTGTCCCTGTATCTGTTGTTATACTCAGTAAACAGTGGTGAGTTTGGTGAACTGATGACCTTCACGGCCAATCACATTCATTTCTGTTGAGCACTGGTTAACACAATGGCAAATAAGCACTGCTTAAAATGTGCTCAACAGTGCTGAAATGTTAGCAGAAAATGGACATTTTTTTTTAAATATCATTATTGATTGGTACCGAATTCCAATATTGTGACAACACTAGTTTGTGTGTGTGAAACTCAAAAAAAACTATAATCTGCTGTTTTACTCCACTGAACTCCAGATTAAAGACAGAAACTCTTCAGCACAGGCCGATCTAAAAGGTTAATGCTGACCACTGATGATCAACAGTCAAAATGACACTCATTTTTGACCTCATAATATTTACAGGGGAACCCAGCAACACTCAATAATGCAGGATTATCTGCTGTCGTGGCTTTACAATCAATAAATGTGATTATAATGGAAGTCAATGGAGCAAAAACAGCCCCAACATCACCAAAGGGGTCAAACTGAACAGCACACAAGAGTTGACAAACATAGATTTGGATGTTTATTAATGCATTAGTAAATGTCCAACACAAAAGTGGCATTACTTACTCAAAACTACAGCGCAGGTAAAGTAAAAGTATCTGTGGTAAATATTACTCAAAGTATGAGTAAAAAGTAAAGCTTTCAAAAGTACTCAAGAGTAGTGAGTATTTCGATGTGAAAAGCTGATGCAATTTGTGCAGGGATGTGTAAACGTAACATTCTGTAGTGCATTTAGTAATTATTTAAGGCCGTTTGGCGATTTCGGTCATCATACATTAAACATTCATCCTCTTCTCAACAGTGACCTGCATCTAAACAGTCTCTGGGTCAGTGTGTGTGAAGATTTTGAACATCTTCTTGGACACTTTTAATGCTTCCAGATAGTTTGCTGCAATGTAAAGTGCACATGTGTTGAGGTAGTTCAGTATGATGTGATTTACCTTCAGTGTGTGATCTGATTGGACAGGAATCACAGCACTGACTTCTCTAATCCCCATAGACAAGAAATAATACAGTACTGACTGTAGCTTGAAGGGAAATAGAGTAAAAGTAATAATAGTGCACTAAACATGTACTCAAGGGAAAGTAAAAGTACACATTCATAAATCTTAGTAAATGACAATTCCTGAGAAAAACTACTCCATTACAGTCATTTGAGTATTTGTAATGTGTTACTTTAGACCACTGGTAAATGTTGATTTATGATGATTAGTAAATGCTGTACTAGTATTGATTACACTGGAAAAATGACTTGTGCTGCTTATTTAAAATACTTCTGTAAAATGAGTTGAAACAACACAATTCTTAAGGTTTTTAGGACAACCTAACTGTTTTATGTTCAAGCCAATTCAGTTTATGAAAGCAATTACGTTAACATTATTTGTGTTGGGACAACATGAAGGAATTGTGTGGAACCCAATTGGAATTGTTAGTTTCATGTAAGTAAATGCATTAACTGATTAAAGCATGTTTTTTTCTTATTTATCTTTCCTATATTAATGCAAAATATTAAAACATTCACATATGTGTGTGTGTGTGCATGTATGTATGTATGTGTGTGTATATATATATATATACTTTGTCACACTTTACAATAAGGTTCATTAGTTAATGTTAATTAATGCATTTACTAACATGAAAAAACAATGAACAATCCATTTACTACTGTATTTGTTCATGTTAGTTAACGTTAGTTAATGAAAGTACAGTCGTTCATTGTTAGTTCATGTTAACTCACGGTGCATTAACTAATGTTAACAAGCATGGACTTGGATGTTAATAATGCATTAGTAAATGTTCAATTATGAGTAATAAATGCTGTACATGTGTTGTTCATGATTAGTTTATGTAAGTAAATCCATTAACTAATGAACCTTATTGTAAAGTGTTACCATATACTTTTAGCTTCATGCTATTGAAAAACAATTTACTGATACTTTATTCGCTTAATAAACTACTAAGTAGCTGCTTATTAATAGTTATTAAGGTATAGTTGGGTTTGGGTATTGTGTAGGATTAGGGATGTAGAATAAGGTCATACTGCTAATAATAAACACTTTTGGCTCTATTTTGACGGTCCATGCGCAAAACGCAGGGCGCAAAACGCAGGGCTCAAACGCTTTCAGGGCGTGTCAGAACGCATTTTTGCTAATTTACGGACGGGAAAATCCGCTTTGCGCCGTGGCGTATGGTCTAAAAGGGTTGAGTTTATTTTCTTAATGAGTTTTAGGTGTGTTTTGAGAATGAACCAATCAGAGTCTCATCTCCCATTCCCTTTAAGAGCCAGCTGCGTCACGCCAAGAGCGCATTCGCTATTTACAGGACGCAAAGTAAGTCTAAGTGGAAAAACTGAGCATTTCACAAGCAAACAGTGAACAGTTTATTAACAGAAAACTGTTAAACAGAGCATCTACTGCGTGAGAATGAGAGAATGGATCACTTTCGCTCTTGAATAGGGAAACCTTTACACACAGACATCAATTAGCCTATAAATAAATACTTTTGTTTGTTAAGCGCAAATATTTGTTTCAAAACTATTTCTAAATTCAGCTCTAATTTCCAGCAAACGAATAAATGAACAATAATAACAAAATGTGCTCAAACACCTGAGTTATATCCAAAAACACATGCTGTGCCCCATATGGTCTAAAACCTGACAGGTGGGCAAATCTAAGCTTGTTTTTAATAAAACAAATATAAATATGGATATAATAAATAACACTGCTAATAATAATAACAATATACAAAAGCAAATTGTTATGAATGAACTGAAAAAGCCTCCCGAGATGAAAAAGACATAAAGCAGTAATTTTTCATATTTATGTCGGCTAGAAAATAATATGTTTTGTAATATTTTAATCCTTTATATTTATATCCTATATCTATTCTTATTATATCCTATATATATCCTTAATATTTTAATTATTTCATATGTAAAGATATTTGCCTATTGCTCTCTTGTGTGTATTAAGCAATGTATAAGCGAGGTGCAACTCTGCGCTGGAGTTTAGACCGGTTTTGTTTTGTTCTTATGAAAAATCTATTATAGTTTCTCAAAATAGCAACGCGCCAGCGGTCCGCCTCAGAACACCTCCCTTTTTAGACTAGAACACCTATGGACGCACATATGAGCTCTAATGCATTTGCTATTTAAACAGCGTAGCGCAACGCCTCAAAACCACTCTTGTGCCAAGCTGAAACTACCAAAAGACTACTGCACCGCGCCTTAATATCTTAGGGCCCTTTATATCTTAATAATAGGCAGGCAATAAGCCAGTAGTAAATAGTGTGTATTGTTACTTTAAAGAAGCACCTATTATGCAAAAATCACTTTAATGAGGGGTTTAAACACAGTTGTGTGTCAGCAGTGTGTGAGTATCTCCAGCCTTTAATGCTCAACAGTAATGAATTGAGTTTGTTCTAATCAGACTTGATGAGTGAAACACTTTGATTGACATTCTCACTTTGTACGTGTCATCAGAGGGGGAAAGCCCCGCCCACTAGTGCCCATCTCTCCATCTCATTAGCATCTCCAGCAGCCCTGAGTGAGAAGCAGCCGTCTGTCCATTAGCCATTAGAGTGTTTGAGCTGCTGAAGATAATGTCAGCATAGACTAAGAGGATTATAGATGTGGAGTTTTAGATGAACAGCGACAGGAGCCACATAGACTGACAGAAGCATCAAGCACACACTCACACTGAAGCACACATGACCAGCACTCACAACACGGATAGTGCTGTTTT